CCCCAAAACCCCAAAACCCCAAAACCCCAAAACCCCAAGTTTATTAAAACTTATTGAAAGTATTATTATTAATGTCAGATCATACAATCGATAGTATGCCTCTATTCAAGATACTTCTATTTATTAATGAGTAGCTCAAGAATTTTTAAAGGCAAAACCAAAAGTAAACCTCAAATAATTTTCTAGTTCACAAATTGTTGCATGGTACCCTATCTGTAGGAAACACCGTTGTAGTTGCTTTTAAGACAAACCTCACAGCAATGGCGATATTTGTATGGAAATTTGAGGAAAAATACTTAGATTTTGTGCCAAACTTTTGATAATGAGATTCTCTATCAATTAATCTTCTGAAGATCTTAAGACCATAGCTGTATATTGAAGTAAACTAAATCTTCAAAGGCCTTCTTCTCAATTTGCGGTGTTTGTAAAATTAGTACGGGAATTTCAAACCTAGCCAAATAAGAGTACAAAGTATAGAAAAATTAAACTTGGAGTTGATGAGATCATCCAGAAATGATATCAATTTCTAAAATGCCACGAGTGATCTTATCTTGAATAACGCTCACTCTACTATGCGAAGTCTAAGACATCATTCGGCTCAGATTTTCCCATTTCCAAGCTCATTTTCCAAAGTTGGCGAAATTACTTCAAATCTTAATTTTTAAAGTAAGATTATAGAAAAATTTACTTTACACTCGATCCGAATGTTTATTTTTGGAACAAGTTTCCTCGAGAAAAAATATAGCAAATTTAAATTAACCTAAGTTGTTCCTGACCACTTTGAATATTCAAAAGTTTAATAAAAATCCTATCAATTATTTAAGGAAAAGTAGTGTCTATGGATATATGAACATTTCAGATAGTTTTGAGTTAATAAAAAAGAGTACCTCATCTGTTTCAGATAATAAATTATAGTTCATTTTCTTTTGTTTTCAGATCAAATTGTAAAATCTGAACTTTGATTTTCTTCGATACTGTATGAGGTCTCGATATGATATAATACTACTAATTCACATATAATCTCCAGCCTCATGTAAGTCTTTAGTTTCGGGTCATCCAGAAAGGGAATATTTATACTTAAAAATGTTAACCGTGAACTTGACTCTTTCATTAAACTCAATCATCTGAAGAAGTATTCCTAAAATTCTTGAGCACAAATCCCTATTGTAGATTATCTGACAATCTTCGAAGCTCAATAGAATTAGGGAATATAATTTTGGTTCATCAATAATAATGCATACCTCACACTTGAACTTCATCTTTGCTTTTAGGTTAAGGTTTTACTAATAATTTGCTAGATTTTAGGGGTTTTGGGGTTTTGGGGTTTTGGGGCTTGGGGTTTTGGGG